GCATGTTTGCACTTGTACATTTAAATTTATCATCGAGACACACAGAATAATTAAAAAATATATGAATATGAATATATATTATATATATAAATTTACTCGATTAAAATGCTTAAAGTTAAAATTATTGAAATGTTCTTTAAACCTGATCAGAATTTTCAGCCTCATCTCCCTTCGACAATTTTTCGGGTTGCGGTTGTTTGTCCTCAGATTCAGAACAATCCGTATTTTTGTCATCTGTCGCACTCTTGCAGGAATCACCATTGCAGCTTTTATTCGGTTCAGAGTGATCGATTTCTTGTTGTACATCGCCCCTACCCTAAAAAAAATAATAATACTCATTTAAAATAACTCTCAAGAATATGAATCTCATAAAACAATAAAAAAACTTATTACTTTTAAGTATTTTCAAAAAATTAGCTAAAACCCTCCAGAAGAACAACTTTGGAAAACGTTATAACCTTACTTTTATTAATAATCCGGATTTAAACTTAGAGACACCGCGAACTACAAGTGCCAGTTTCCTCCACGCTTTAATAGCAACTGAACGACTTCCTCCTGGCCAACCCTGCTTCAGAATAGCCTCATGGTAAATACCGTATGTGACAGCATTCAGTTCCAAGCCACTGCGCTAAAACTAAGTTTTGATAAAAAAAAACTTCTAATTCCTCAAAGGTGAAAAGATTACGTGCATCGCTTGCTCCACTTGAACGGCAAGATGTGGCTGCTCCATCTCACCACACAATTGGATAACTGTACGGTAGCATACTTGATCAAAGGGAGTAATCCCACTCTGTTCCATACGATCCAAAATCTTAAAAAACTAACTTGTCGAAGCCTATAGTCTTGAAATCACTAGCTAAACAGTGAGTATGAGTGAAATAATGCTAGGACCGAAAACTAATGCTGAAACAGTAAAAATATAATTATTGTGCAAGATAACATATCAAAACCAACATGGAATGCAAGCCGTAAAATTTTGATCTTGGATATAGCTAAATGCAACAACGAGGGAAGCAACATAAACCACAGTGAATAACTGTAAAACAGCAGAGCCTTTGGCCACGAAGATGGATAAACTTGAATATTCATTGCAAGTTCTTCTAGAGAACTACGCCATTCTTGTTTCGTACGGTGTAGGGCGCTACTGATGCCACCTACTTTAAAACTAAGTGTAAGACAGGGTTAAGAGTAACTGAAACACATTAAAACCCATTCAATCTAAAAAGTCCTTGTCGTGCTAAAAGTGTATGGTGAAAAACCCTCTATAAAATTCATTTCTTTACCAACTACTATATTTGTCGTGTTTCCTAGTGAAGTTTACAAATCTACAATGGTCTGAAAGCTTCCGGTCTTCGACTGTTATTTTTAAAAAAAGAGGCTACAAGATACTTTATAATTTCCATAACTTGACACTTGAACGTTATCATTTTTTTCTTAATTGTGCGACTGCTCAGGGCAATATTTCCACACAAAAGTGTAAATTTGTTATATTGAACTGAATTCTAAATCAGTAAGAATATTTTTTAAAAACCTAATATAGGAACTGCTGATTAACCAGGCTTCACGTAAAAACCATCCATGAACTTCCGTCCCATAAGCGTGAAAGCAAGAAAATTTAGGAACACGTTACTAATGTCTTTCGTAAGAGAATTCTCTTGGTAGACTTGAAAACCAATTTTTGTTTAGAATTTAAAAGGAATATTTGCCAAAAGTTCAATGTCATGACAATAACAATATTACATCAACTAAAAAACGTCAATTTGAACAATTCATACTCCTCTCTAAATCTGTCAAAAAATTATGAAATGTAATTATGGAAATTGGTTTGAACTACGAAGAGGCTACATACTGAACTGCTGAATCCATAGAAGGTTTACTGCAAAAAAACGACTTCTAAATATTGTTGAACTACCTTCCACTTCACTATTTATTATAAAGCTTATCATAACGCATTCTGACAGCACACACCGTTAACGCTATGTAGCCCTGAAAGTGTCCAACACTTCTACAAATACCAAATAAACTGTCCTACATAAACCAATAATTAGGATGTTAATCGATTTATATAGCTATTATAAACCATATAGCATATCAAATTTGAACTCAAATCCCTTTCAAAAAATGGTCAAGAACAGGAATTATTTCGAAAACCAAAAATTAGAAGTTTAAAATAATTATAACTCATAGGTTTCAACTAGTACAGAATCCGTAATCACTTTCAGACCATTAAACAAATGCAATACATTTTTACATAGAACTACGGCAAGGTACTTGAATGTCGCTTTTCTGGGCTCTCAGCACCACCTCCTGTGAGAAATTACCCCACATAAAAAAGATAAAGCTATAAAACTTATCATCCTTACAAAATAATAATGTCATAAGCTACTAGTGAAAATTAAAACCATTATTCAACTTGTTTTTTCTGGAAAATGCAGTAAAAACATTGCTCAACGAAAACAATTAAAATGAAAACCAAGTACTTCTGGCAAGTGCATAAGTCGAAAACAGCGCTTTCAGACACTTTTCTAACCAACAAACATTCGATTTAAAAATAAAAAAAATAAAAAAAAACAACATCTATAATTTAAAAATCGACTTTTAAACTAAAAATTTTTTTATCAAAAATGGAAACAGTTGATTTACCATCCCTGAACTAGAGAAGGGTGAGACTGACCTGAACAAGCTTCGATATTATTCTCAGAAGATTTTTTGCAAGAGCGGTTCAGTTTATCTAACTGAAAGTACGCGGAATTGAGTTGGCGCGGGAATTCGCTATAAGTGAAACTTAATTCACTCCCATCCGGTGCTTTGAACGATTCCGGAGGCATTGTTATCTCTGTCTGACTACTTTCTGGTAAGCCAGCATTCAGCAAAATGGGTTCACTGCTTTTCCCACCTTCAAACCATTCATTATAACCTAAGAATTAAACTGCTCCCACTTTTTAAAAAATTGGACCTTGACTTGGACCCATGTGTTTCCACATTAAATTTGAGTAACCTTATCATAAAAAATAACAGAAAAGAAATAAAACGAAAAACGGCAAAAATACTTACCATAATCCCTAACTTTGTCAATACACTCATCGAAGAAAGCGTTAAAAGCATTTTTGTCCGAAACAAATGATCGTTCCTCAATGAAACGATTAAACAACTGTGTTTCACAAAAGCGTTTAAAAAAAGCTGCAGATGACCTATAACAAATATTTTTAGGATATGAAGTAAAAAATCGACTAAAGAAATACTAACTATACAAAAAATATTGTAGAAGTTACTTATCACGAGAACGAAGAAAGGCATCCAAATCAAACAAGGAAACCGTATCGGTAGCACCAACATGGCGAGGCGCACTTCGAATAGGCTTTAAATACCGAGTATACCCCTGCATAAGAGATGCCATAAATCTGAAACGGAATAACTATGAATCAAATACATCATTCCACAGAGAAAAAATAAAAGCTGTTGAAAAAAAAAAACATATTAATTCTTCAGTTATTGCGGTTTAAAAAATACGGATTTTAAAACAGCGGAAAAGCCTTTCGCACGGATAAGAGGGCAATCAAGGGTTTGTAACTCCCTTTGAAAAAAATTTGAAAAAAAACATTCTAAAAGAAAATTAAAACCTTAAAAAAGCATCCTGAATTTTCACTTCAAGCAACCGCTTATTTTGTTGCGTTTGTAAATCAATACTAACTGCAGTAAAAGTATTATTTCTACGTGGCGCAAAGACACTTGATTCCTCTCGATGTATACGCTTGTGCAGCTTTTCCAAAGTAGTTTTCAGCTGACGATATAAATTCTAAAAAAAATTGGTTTATGAATTATTCCAACCACATTATACTAGGGTCCAGCTAAAAGTTCGAACTGAATCAGAAATAAAGAAAAACCTTAGGCAGAAGACTCAGTTTTTTATTTTGACAGGTTGTAGACTGGCTTACAATTGCCGTATCTAGGTCAAAACAAGTGACATCAGGCGGGGGATCCTCATATAAATCAAAGTACCTACAAAATATTTATGCTAAACGGATAGCAGAGACCCGTAAACAGGTCACTAAACAAGGCGTACGTGATCCGTACAACCGACGTATAAAGTAAGCCGTAAAAAATCTGAAAACTTACCGCGAGTCTACTCCAGCGATGAAAGGTAAAGGGGCATGAAGCACTCCAGCTAAAGAAAGAGGACACTGTGGAATGTAAGGACATTGCCAGTGAAAAGGAAACGTAAGTGCACATACGCTTTCAGCAACAGTGGTCAGTAACCATGGTCGTAAAGAATGTACTAAGATTTTCTGTTCCAATAAAGCTAATAGAACAATATATCTGTAAAATGCAGAAATCCAATTAGAACAGAAAGGTAAAGTAAACCTACAAATATAAGTACATCAGTTACTTTTAGGTAGAAAGTACAGAAAGAATTCATCATTAAAGCTGCACAAATCGAAAGTTGAAATTTAACAATGAGCATGAAAATCTACAAACAGAATAATGAAATACATAAAGTAACAAACATTAGATTTTCTGGGCCTAAACATTTAAGAGCGTCAGATAAAGCTGCACCAGAAAGAGGTAACTGAGAATCGTCGTAACTGTCTAAAGAAACAGCTTCGTTACCTAACTGCACAATAACATGTGGACATCTGGGTGACGGAAAAGAAACTTCGTACATCTGAAGAACAGATCTTTTAGATGTCCTTAACGCGAAAAAACAGCAAGAACTTAAACAAAATTCTATTTAACGGACCAAGTGGGATACATATCGCTCGATTGGTACTGAATATGTGCCAGACACTGACATATGGTGGATAAAAAACAGGAACCTTTTGAAAGCATTAAAAAATGGATATCGGGAAATAACACAGATAGACGTGTTATAGTGAAAAGACATCTAAATGAAAAGACGTAATTCATTAAATACATCTAACACAGAAACAATACGGCTACATTCCCTCTAAGTAATCAAGTTGTTTCAGAATAACAATTTGCACTGAAGACCAGTTGTAATAGAGTAATAGATTTCTAACCTAATGCGCAAAAAACAGCTTTTTCACTGGTGACTCAAATATTCCACAACCAATACCCAAAAAATTATATTTCTCTTTCATCTATTAAAAAGATGTAAAGTACATAAATACTCTCTCTCAATACCTGCTCCACAGGACCGCTACCGCCTGTCGATTCCAAAGCTGTACCTGAGACACTTCCAGAAGGAGACGAAATTTCAAGTTTTTCTAGCTGTTCTTCTGTTAATTTCTTTTTGTACAATTCATAAAATGACACTGAGGCACCATAAAATTTACATCCATTCTAAAACGAATTCAAATAGATACAAGGCCAAAACAACGAAAAGCGCCCAATGCTATCCCAAATAAGTCATAAAAAATCACAACTTTAATTGAGAAATCATCAGCTTGACTCCATGAGCCAGTATATACTAGTGAAGAAAAGAGACTTCGGGAACAACATAACGGAAATGTGGTTGTATCTTGGAAAGATACTTTCATCAAAAACTACAATAAAAATTATTATCAACAAGATGAATGAACCATCTTTACCTGGTCAGTTAAAACAAATGTTGAAAAAGTCTCCTCAGGATTCTGGCAATTGGTAGGCCAACATTCAATTAGTGCTCCCATAGGTAAACAAAACATAGGGATAGTATCCACAAGCCGAAAATCGCTGTCTTCAGGAAAACGGTTTAAAACCGCCGGTGTGTAAGCAATTCTTTTTGAAGCTGCCTGAGATTTCTTGTAGCACAAGAAGATATCAGAACCAACCATACCCTAAGCACAGATATGGAATAAAATTCATTACGAAAGAACCAAAACTTCATAATATTAATGCAACGATAATTTCAGAAAAAATTGCTAAAACTAAATCATCAAACTTTGTTCAAATTCTTCGGTATTTTGTAATATGTATGTGGAGCCATATCTCCTTTATCAGCGATAATGACACAGATATTAGTGACAACAAGTTGACTTGGTGGATTATTTGGCTGCGCCCGACGGTACGTTAAATAAATACCTAAATTTTGAAATAAGACTGAATAAATGAGAAATCAGCGGCAAACCCTAAAACCGCTTTTAAAGGATGGGTCTAAAAAATCATATTAAAAAAAAAATTTTTAAAAAGAAATAATATTATAATACATTCAAAACCATCTCAAAACTTAAAAAAATTATCAGACAGCATTTCCTGAACATAATTTATTAGCAGCTTAAAGTCTACACCCAATCGTATAATTTATAATAAACGTAATCGCACTTGATCTTCCAGAACTGGAAACCAAAAATGCACGTGAACAAATAGAAAAAAATTTTTTCATGAAGAAAATTACAAATTACCAAGAAGAACAGCAGACACAAAGTCTGAGCTGTAAAGAAAAAATTACTCACAAGAAGCCAGGCAGCCCAGAAGAAATGAAAAAAAAAAAAGCAGTTTTAAAAAACTTCTAACTCTCAGCATCCCCTTTCCCCAGATCAAAACCATGCAGATAAAATCCAAGATTAAGTGAATGAAATGAATCAGAAACTACCAAATAAAAATGAATAAAATTTCATTATGTCCTTCCTAAGGTCCTCTCTCCAACTTTTTATAAATATGTTCCGATTTAACCTAACCTTCAAAAACGGCTTGACCAATTAAAAATAAGACTAATACGCATTTCCAAAAAATATTCGCCTTCCAGTTATTAAGAATTTATAAAACTACTATGATATAAAAAACAAAAACCAAAACCTTGGGAGGCATTATTTACATTTGCTGGCCGACCAAAAGGAGTTGTCTGGACAATATTGGAATCAAGCATTGGTTTTTCTCCCCGACCTTCATCCAAGACTCCTGTAAAACATTTTTGAAATCGAAGTCTGGATAAACTTCCTTAACCATTCTAAACTCATAAGAATTAAACTGAAACAAATAAGCAGCTTGGAAAGCCATAAAGATAATGAAAAATTATGGAAATGAAGTTATTGGGACAAACCAATATCTACAAGTGGTGGCTTATGATATCCACGACGATAACAGATGAAAACCGGTGGGGTTCGAATGGACCCATAATTCAAGTCTGCGGGGTGACCTGAGGGAGTGCTTTCAATACACTCAAATCCATCTGGTACCTAAAACATTTAAAAAGTCACAAATTTAGCTTTTGACGTCTTAAAAAGGATACCAAGAAGTACGCACCTTTTCGCCAAGAGAAGGAAATATAACACAGATATCTGTAATAGGCGCAAGCGGAGTAGCGTTACGGCGTCCACACTCTTGTGCAGAAATCACCAATTCTTCCGCCCCTTCCTTTAATCCAACTGTAACAAAATACTCGAAAAGTTTTCTTGAATCGCTCATTTAGTGTAAATATTTTCTAATGAATAAAAATACATAGAAGCTATTTCTTATTGGATCAACATCAAATTCCTGAAACAAAAAGGAAAATTAAAACACAAGTTAGGTGAAATTCAGACTAAAGAGACGTTCAAGTGATCGAGTATGCAACGTCAGATTATTGCAGTGCGACGTGTTTTAGAACACATAACAATAATGATCCCAATCCTTTGACGCACAATTCAGTACCACGTGATAAAACTTTAAGTTGCCGCATCACCACAATATGAAAAAATTTCATGTAATAATTGGTATCTTCCTACTGTAAAAATCTTTTCTTCCTTAAAGTGAAAAAAACTTATAACTGATGAAACTAAATTGCTAGAACGATTCTAATTGTCCTTTAACTGAACTTAAAAAGTATTAAAAAGAACAGACGGTAATAGTTGTCATAATAATGACGAAATCAACAAAAACGATGCCAATAAGCAGACTACATCATCTTTTCCGTAAAAGCATAGATAAGAAGGGCTCAGCTGAAACGAATTCAATCCCACTATAATGACAGCACATGGGCCGAAACTGACTCCAGTGAAAGGTGCAATTAATCCAGTGACCCAAGAAAAAAAGAAAACACCAATTCAATAGAAAAGCAGCTTTAAATGGTCAAATAAACTTGGTGAACATGGAGATAAAGCTAGTAAGAAAAACAAAAGAGGAAAAAAAGCTTGCCTACCAAACTAACACACACGGATCGGAACATGCAAACAGAAAATTCCCAGTAGCATCCGATTTAAAAATTATAAAAAAACACAAGAATTTTCAAGCATCACAACACATATCAACAAACCTCTACAGACACATACACACGCAAACGGACACAAATACACACATATAGGCATGCATAAATACAAGCAAGCACACCCTCACGTCAACACCAACACTGCTTCGAACAGTTCCAAACGCCTGACCAATCTAAGAAAAACAAACAAACATACGAACGAAAGAAAAAAAAAAA